CTGCGCATTTTGAATAGGTAATTACAACAGCTGATATTACCCGGCTCTGCAGGCGCCCCGTGTTTTTCTTCAAGTTACATTTGTTATTTTCGCACATGTTTCGCCTGTGAAGTTGAAAAATACTTAGCAATAATGCGGAAGTTGCGCAACAGAACATACTCAAATGTCAAATCATGCACAAAATGTCATTCCACATGGAAATCTGTATAATTATGGCAAGGTAATGCATTTTATTAACGCTATATTATTTTATAGAACATTCCACTGTGCGACAGTGTCAGTCAAGCATTTCTGCTTGTTTCGTTTACTTATTTTCATGATATTTTTATGGACTGCTGAATGAGCTGAGAAAACACTTGCCCAGGTTAACAAAATTGCTGCAGCTAACAGACTTTATGAGCGTCAAGTCTTTAAAGAGTAGAAGAACCCTAACCAATTTATATATGTATCACGCATATATTATTTAAAGTCTCTGAAGAAATGTACAGGCAAAGTTTTTGTTTTGGAGTTTCAGAGTTTGAAGTTTAGAAAATTTCCAGTGCTGCCAGACTGATAATAAAGAGGCGAGCAGCAGACTGGGACTCTGGCCAACAATTTTGAAGCAGGCCGATGGCGCGCCCACAAAAACCCGAATTGAAATTTTTGTTTGCTGTGCGTTATTTACAAAACGCTGAAACTTTTGCTAGACCAGGAAAAGTTAATCGATGCCAGTTGGCGAACCAACTTGCAGCAAATTGACCGGAAAATGTTTACCAATTGCTAACGGAACTCTGGGCCAGCTCTAAGCCGAGATTTGGACAACTGACCAGAGCTCGGCAACTCCATACAGCAAATTAAACAGCTCCCAACTTCAACTCAACAACAAAAAATATACAGAAAAAAATAAATAAAAGAAAATTGTGTTTTATAGCAAAAGTTCTTTTTTTCAACCCCGTTGACATATATTGATACATTATTTTTTTTTTGTGAAGTGCTAAAAGTTTGCCAGGCACTGGAAAAGTTTTGTGCATTAAGGGCTGCCACGGCACTGGGACTGATAGCGAAGAAGGACTGCAGGAGTAATGAAATTTATGAAATTGTATTTTGGCAGCCAGTAGCCAACAATGGAAATCGTTTCGAGTTGTTTGCCCCAATTTGGGTCAATGAAAGTTTCGCTTCAAAATCAATTGGATTTTCATAAAGTTTGCCACGCGCTAGCTGTTGCCCCCAAAAATTCGTACTGTCAATTTAACTTTGCCACTTGGCAGACCCCCCATACAGAAATATAGTTGCAGAAGAAGAACAGAAACTGCCCAAAACCAAATGACAGGCATTGAACTACCAATAAAATTCGCTATAAATAAATTGCAAAATGAGTCAAGGCAGTTGACATTTGTGTTTGGAGGGAATGGGAAGGGGGAGCAGTGGTTTAGGCTTTGGGAATTGGTTGGCTGTCAAACAGACTGCAAAAGTTTCATAAGTGCAACAAAAGCAGCGGCTGTGGCAACAACAACGACCACTGACAGCTGCTACAAAAGATGGCGAACGACAAAAGGCCTGCGGTGGGCCAAGTGGGTGGCACTGGTGGCACTTTACTGTGGTTTGGACTTGTCTCCACCGCTAACATGGTTAGACTGCACAACTGCCAGCCCGCACCGCTCGCCCCACCGCAGCATATTGTTGTGTTCGACATGGCCAAAACGACAAAAAAAAAATATCAAATAAAAAAAATAGTGCAAAATTGTGGCGCAGGAAGAATACGTAACCACTGCAGAAGGCCACCAACTATTTTAGATGCCAAAAGCGACGGCGAGAACAACAACGTTTCCAACGTTTGCATGTTGCATGCCGTTAGTGAAAACAATGCCAAAGGCAATGTGTAAATATGCTTTGCAATTTTTATGCTTTTTTATAGTATTCAAGGTGCCAGCATTCGCACAGTGTGAAAATATTTGCGAAATAAAAATAGAAATTTATTTGGTGTATATACGAATACAGAAGAAATCAAATCGCACATGTTTCAAGCAAAGAATGCCAGATTTTTAAAGTGATTTTATCTTGACCTAAAAGAGATTTGCAGGTGTTCAGAGCAGCTTATGAGATGGGCATTTTTCAGGTATTTTTAACGGAAACGTTAAGGCTCACAAAAACAAAATATATAAATATAAATATAAAATGCCGTAAGTGGTTTAAACCGATTATTCGATAACGAAAAAATATCGCTATGAACACAATTTGGAGTGCTTTTTACATGCCTAATGCCCATTGTACTTTCATATTTGTAGTATTTTTTAATGGCAGCGCAGCAAAACAACAACAACAACTATTCGCTGGGCGAGTCAACACAGAGGCAATACTTTTGTTATTGTTGTTGTTTGCTGAACATTTTACCATGTTAGACAGTCAACGAAAAACAGATTTTTGTCACAGGCCAACGCCGCGGGGCCATAGTTGCAAAATGTATGTAAAAGAAATCAACTTGCAGCTTGCAACAAAAGCCGCGTATTCCGTTAAATGTCACTGACCGAGAAATGAACGGCAAGAGAGTGGCAAAAATCTAAAGCAGCACTATATGAAAAAAAAAAACGCAGGCGGTTTTATTGCCAGTGGCAGGATACGAACAACAACAACGGCGACAATAGCAGGACAACAGGACTACAATGAGACTACACAACAATAACAAGGCAAAGTTGCGAGGAGCTGTTGTCATTTCTAGCTGGTGATTTCTTTGGACACTAGGCACCACTAACACGCCAAGTTGAGCCTCAGTCCGCAACCCCCTTTCTGTCTATATCCTGCTCATACATAACCAATGTCCATTGCACTTCATTTTGTTGTAGTTGCTGTTATTGTTGCTGTTGTCGCCACTCGCCGGGGCAGTCAACGAGGCAACTTGATTGTTGGCCAGCATTTGCTTTGCTTTTGTTTCTCCTTTGCTGCTGCTCTTGGCCTTTTCACATTTTTTATTTTCTTTTTTTTTCTGCAGCATTTTGAGATGATTTGGCAAATTGAATTTCAACTCAATTTGCAGCTAACAACAAATGGCTAATTAGTTGGACTGGACCAAAGAAAAAGTGTGCTGAAAAGTATGCTGTAAAAAGTGAGAGCAAAATTTCTATACGGCAAAAATAGCACAAAATCCTTTTGATTTTACAATTAGCAGTTGAAATTGATGCTGGCACGAATGTAGCTGCAACACCAAAAGACAAGTCCTGCGGGAAGTAGAGAAGTGAACAGAAGAGCCAGGCTGCATATTGCTGAAAAGTGTTGCCTGAGCTGTGCATAAAATGAATACCAATTATGCAAACGCATGTGCGCCATGATGCAGGCATCCATGGCAAGAAAAGACTGAAGAATGCTAAAAATGGTTTTCACAAAAGCTAACAAGCCTTAGGGACTCTACATGGCAACAATTGGCCAGCGCTCAAGGGATCATTGACTTTCTAGTCAAGTTTGCAATTGGTAGGCGAAAGCATTAGAACAGCTAAAACGCAAGGTGTCCATATTAAATTGGGAAAAATCTGCAACTCTTACAGGCTGAGAGGTCTTTTTCATTTAAGTATCGTCTTGCTTAAAAGTTTTTATAACTTGACCAAGCTTTTCAAAATATTTCCCTCTATTTCCTTACATAGAATCTTTCAAGTTAATATTAAGTCTGTTTATGTTTAACTTCAAGTATACATAACTGCAGATAGAAAAGATAAAAGATATTTTGACAAACGATTGCGATTAAACAGAAACCATAATTAGCTACAGAACATTGGAGCACATCTAAACTTTTTGCCGCCTCAGCTAACTTTTTCTACGCGAGACGTTATTGTGCTTCGGCTTTCAAAATAAAAATAACAAAAAAAACGACGGCAGTTTTCTCATATCGGTTGCTTGGTTTTCAGCTCTTGTTCAAGTATCTGTGGCTGCTGAATGGGTGTGTGTGTGTGTGTAGATAAATAGGAATGTATCTGTATCTGTTTACAGCTGTAGATACGCCATTCATGCTTCAATAAATAAGATAAATTGAAAAAGCAAAAAAACTACAAAAAAAAAAGCACAGAAGCCTCCAGAGAGATGGGTGAAGAGAAAGAGAAAGAAAAAGGATGCAGAGCAGCAGCAGCTCAGCAGCAAGGATAACAGATTAGTTGAGCTGGCCAACGGACTAGTCCTGTCTTTCAATGGGAATCAAAACATTTTGTTAAAAGGAAACGCACACACACACACATACAGATGCAGCTAGAGAGCCCGTCTGACAGTCAAGGCCTATTCACACAGATGCGCGCGTTTATCTGCGGAAACGGAGATACGTTGTACGTGCTGAGGATGTGGCCAGGACATGCCCACGAAGCGAACTCTAAACTCGCAACTTTATCTACCCTTATGTGTGTGTGTGTGTGTGTGTGTGTGTGTGTGTGTGTCTCTGTGTACATGCGTGTGTGTGTGTACGCATTTGGCAGCCAACTTGTGTGTAATAAAATGTAATAAAATAAAACTCACATATTAGAAATGTTTTGCTAGCTTTTCTTTTTTCCTTTGGCCATTGAGAGACACATAAAAAGCACATGGAATATTTTGTAGTTGTTGTTGTTCTTGTTATTGCAGTTGGCAGCCCATAAATAAAATGCCAGCTGTGCGTGCGGCTAGTTTTGGCTTAGTATTAGCAAATATTACGCATACGCACTGTGAAACCATCTTAACATAACGACAATCACCATCAAGGATAACTGAGATTTTTGGCGCAAGGCTCGCAAACGAGACTTTTATGACACATTTATAGGCCATTTAATGGCCAACAAATGACAGCAGCTGTCGTTAGCGTCATTTGAATGCCTTTTCACATGCGAGAGTTCTTTAAGATTTTAACATAATAATAGCACAATGAACATAAGAATGGTATATTTATGTATTTGATATGTGAGTTATATGCATTATAGCTAATATTTTATTTATTGACACTATACTAATCGCTTTTGGGCAATATCTAAAGCAATAAATAAATTTTATGTGTATTTAATATAGATAACACATACCAAATTTAGCTGCAGCTCCTTTTGTCTCTGGCTTCTTGAAGAGCTAAAAAAAAAACCAACCATTAATAATATATATGTATTCGTTATTATGCTACTTTAATTGGTCTGTCATATGATTTAATTTTCGCAATTTTAATGGCACTTTACAACATAGAAATCTAAAACAAATAATTGACAGCTGCTGCTGTTGCTGCCGCCGCCGCAGGACCTATTTATTACATAAGTTTTTCATGGGAAAATTGAATTAAGTTTTGACAAAGTGCTGCATATTGATTTTCTAATTGGCCGTGTCACGAAGGCAAAAAAGGCCATTACAATAATTTTAATGTGCAAAATTATTGCTCCTTAATGTAATTTTAAGCAATTGACAAAAGCAGGCGAACAGCAATTCCGGCTGGGAGGGGCTAACAACAAAATGGCGTACAGCACAAACTTGGCTGACCATTAAGTTAATGAGGGTCATTGCGGCAACGTGTTGGTCCTTCGCACCTCGCCACCAGATGCGAACGAAGCCGAGTCCGAGCTGTGTAGTGGTTGCCTGTGGGGGATAATGACGTTAATGCTATCGTTCCACTGCTGAGGGGGCGCAAGGGGCGGGCTATGGAGGAGTGCTTTTTCCGGGCGACGCTGAAGCCACGTCAGCAGCAGCAACGGAAACGGAAGCCAAACAAATATGGCCGACGCACGCTTCGCCAGACAAAATAAAACAATAAAACTTTTAAATGCATTTTTAGACGGCACGTGGGACGCTCTAATGCACAGTGGGTCGAAGTGCAATAAAAATGTGCGGCGAATAGCTGGCTGAGAATTATAAGCGCACTTCAGGTGTAGAGCATTTGTATTTATTGTAACTGTTATGGGCAGACACGCGCTTAAACAACTTTTCATGCTCCACTGTGGGATCATTATTGTTTTTTTAATCACATTTATTACACCGACCTGTGAAATATATTTCTATTCATTACCCATTATATCTCAGGTTCTTTCGTCTGACATAATTATCTTTTCGCTTTTTACCACTGTGCCCGTTGTGGGCTGTATTTGGTTTCATTTTTCAGTTGATTCATCATCAACTTTTGCAACCCTCCTGGTACCAAATTTCTCATTTACTGTTGAAAAATTTGTGACGGACTTTTTTGTGTGTTATTTACGCCAATTTATTTTTGGACGTCTGCTTTTAATGCCATGGCGATACGGGGAGGCGTTTGGGAGTTGTGTAACTTTAGCTGTGATAAGACTGATGTGGATAATGACGATGACGATGATGGAGATGGAGATGATGATCAACAGCGACGGCCAAAATAAAGCAAAGCCAAACAAACTGACAGCTGAAATGTCAGTTGAGAGCGACAAGGATGTGGACCACAGGACAGTAAACAGTACATAATGGCAATTTAAATGGCATTTTTAGTTGGCTTTTACGGCGGAGCAAGCCCCGTATGACCCCCAACCCGCCCACTGTCCCAAGCCACAGACGGTATCTACGTTATAGAGTGACATGCGATATTTGATCAATAACTTGATTGGGAGAGGGGGTTAGAAGACTTCGACTTGCTGGGGGTTGGAAACATAATAAAGTGAATACGTTGCAATTCCCTGCTAGACATGTGTACGTGTGTATATTACTGCTGTGCGTGTGTGTGTGTGTGTGTGTGTGTGTGTGTCCTGTTTTGTTCGTCTGCTTGGCTGGCTGCTGCTTTAGACTTGGCTTATTTGTTCTGCCTTTGCTTTGGCACCAAGCCGCATTCATTATGAAAGGCAAACAGGAAGGTTGGCAGCAGGACGTAAGTAGACGCCAGGGCCATCAATCTGTCAGGTTGTCGGCTGACTTTGCCTCGTACTCGGCTAACCGTTTTCGCACGTTTCATGTGCCAGATCAAAGGCAAAAACGTTCAACGTCTCGCACCCAGTCTGCCCTCAGCAGACACTCGAGAGTTCGCCTGGGCAAAACAAAAGCTCTTGGCGCTGTCTCAAGCGTTATTTATTGTTAACGAAATAGCCGACGCCCTACGGGGCCGTACAGGTCCTCGGCATATGTCAAAGGCGGCGGCGGCAGCTGGCGTTGCCAGACCTGCCCAAAAAACAAGGCAGCCATAATCATTTTTATGGTGTAGTCCAGGGGGGTTGGGCGGGCAATTAATCAAAAGCTAAACACCAAAATACATTTTGTGGTTTTACAAGCATGTTAAATGTCCTTGTTGTTGCTGCTTCTGATAGCAAATTAATGCCGTTAGATGCCTGTAATCTCATCCTGGCCTGGCCTGGTCTGGACAGCCCTGCCCTGCTGTTCTGCTCTCACTTGTCTCGTTATTGTTTCAATTGTTTTGGCAGCCTGCCCGTTGACAACAAAACTAAATTAACACGCACACGGCCAATCGCTATGCCATCTCTCTTTCTTTCCCTCCCTCTCCCTCTCTAACGTTCACTATCTGGCTCATTCGTTCCCCTGACGAGGCAACAGGATGCCGGCCAACGTGCGTTTGAGTGTGTGTGTGAGCCAATTGAAAGCAGTCAAAGAGCAGCAGCAGGATTACAATCTATCAGCTGCAGCCCAGCCAGCGCACAAATTTGGCTCGTCCAGTGCCTCGTCCCGCCTGGCTGCCATGTTGCCGTGTGCCCATGTCCATATCCTGTGCGGCCTTTGCCTGCAGTCGGCTCAGCCTCTCCTGTCGCATTGCAGGCTCGGGTTCAAACGGTTTGTGTGTTAAATCGCTTTTTATTGTTGTACATTTTCGGAGTGTGTTTCCATGTGTATGTGCGTGTTTTCCAATGATTGCCATAGGTTTTGTGTTGTTCTCATTTGCATAGCAAAATATATGTGTGTGTGTGCGTGTGTGTGTCAGTGCGTGTGGGTTTGTGCCTGGCGGGCAACTCTATTACACTTAAAATGCGTTTTAAAAAGGGAACGAATCCAATTGGGATTTTTGAGTTTGAATGTGTGTGTGTGTGTGGGGGGATTACATGAAACTGATAATAGCGGTAGGTGTGGGCGTGGCACAGCCAGGCAGTCTTCCGGGAATTGTGTAATTGAGGAACACGTATGCTGACTGATTGGGATCTCTATGCCTTTCAAATGTGAATGCAATTAACAACAAAATGCGAAAAGGTGCGACAACAAAATCCCATAAAAATCAAACGAAAAACAGCTCGATAAATGTTTCTGAAATTTTGGGGAAATAAATCAGAAATAAAGAGAACATACATATATACAGGGAGATTAGAGTGATAGGCCATTTGAATAGCAAATTAAATGAATTGAGTTATATTCAGTACGCAAAATTGGTAATAAATATATTCACAGGGTAATTTGATAGATTTGTTTATTTATCGATAATGTTATCGATAACAGGGCGCACGTTGAGTGGGATTCAAACTGAATTGCACTTGGATTAATAAGCGCTTCATCTAAAAATATGAAAAACATAAGTAATAAATTATTTAAATAGAAATTAACATTCTATAAAATGTATTGGATTGTCTAAACATGGAAATTTACAGAACACAGCATTATCTGTTTGAAAGACTCCTAAGCTACAGTTCTATTATGATCCCACAACTAATGTGAGTTTAAAAACCTGGAGTAGTATATTTTATTGGCGTTGTGCCCATTTATCACACTGTTTTTCAACGTCTATCAAACACGTATACAATTAAAAACCATCTATCGCCATGCTGGATGCAGCCATCCATCATTTCGGTATGTTGCCTTCATTTCCTAACGATATCCGACTGTTTGGAGCGTCCAGCAGATAATGCGATATCTTTTTTTTTTGCGCATATCCGCTGCACAGTCAGCTTTCCAGTCCATTGATGGCCAACCAGCCCGGCGCTGCGTTTTACAAATTGACTTTATGGCGTACACACACCCGCGGACAGCCACGCAGCCCTGCGCGGCGCTGGTCCGCATGGGCGACAGCTTAACGCAAAGTTTTCAGCAACTAAAATGGCGACACATAAATGAACAGTAAAATGCATTGGCGGGCAGGGGGAAGCGGACGGAGGGAGGCGTTTGACTGTCTGCACGTCACGCACACTTTATCCTTCATCCTGCGCACACGTCGCGAACGAAACGTTTCATTTGGGTTGTGTCAAAGGCAAACAAAAAAAAAAACGAAGAAGGAATACCGGATACGAACACGGACACTAGCGACAACTAAATGCGTGAAATGTCAGCGGGCTGTGACACGCCCACAGTCCAGCCCCTCACCCTAGGACCAGCTGCTCCCCACTTGGCACACTTTGTGCGTTGGGTGCATTGGCTTTTGCAGTGGGACAGGTGCAATTCGAGCAGGTAATAGCATCAACTGGCATTCACCTTTGTAAATTGCAATTTGATTTGCCAGCCCCGCCGCCCCAGCCCCCTTTTTAATGTTGTAATTAAATGCGAAACAAACAAAACTTTTGTCAGCGTTTTTTCTGGTCATTCGTTAATTGATTTTGTGTGCGCACAGTTTGGTAAGCGCTACAGTGCTGCCAAAACTGTGCACTAATTTATAGCCAAGCAGCATTAAGAGCATAAATAAATTTGCAGAGACCCGCACAAATTCAAAAACATAATGCCAGCGGGCGGCCAAGGAGAGCGGAGCCGCTGCTCTTAATGCTGATGTAGGGGATTTGGGGCGCTTAAGCGCCGGAACAAAGCAATCAGCAGCCCCCATGCGTGGCGTCTCCGTTTACTGTGTGCGGCAACAACAGCGACAAACAACGCATAAAATATAAAATATATAAAAAAACATACCAAAAAATTGTAAAAAATATATATGTATATGTGCATGTATTTATGCAAAAAGCACAATAGCAGCAGCAGCAGCAGCTGAGGCAAAACTTTGGCCACGCCTCAAACACACACACACACACACACACACACACACGCACACGCACACACATAAAGAAAGCGGCGGCTTAGCTGTGAACATTTATTTTATTTTTATGCCATTTCGTTTTGTTGCTTAAGCGCAGTGTACAAATTTTTTAAACAACCACAGCAGCAGCAACAACAACAACCCACAGAGGCATGCACATGCCTTGAGAGAAACAGCAGGA